TTGACCCATATATTTTAGTATATTCATCATCATCTAGATTCCTTCAGATGGTTATGCTTCAAATAGCATCATGTACATCATGTTTATTCAAAAGTTTATTCATTACATTTGCAAGTGCAAACATAACTGAAATGTTATTGTGGTCTTAGGGTTATTTACAAAAAAGTTATTATGGTCTAAGGGCCATTCTCTTCAGTCTGATTGTTTAGGTGCACCAAGAATAATTTCACATAGTGGGGTCTCTTTTGATTGCTTAGATGCATTAAGTGTAAGATAGCTGCACGACAATATATGCAACTTTCTTAACAAGATTTTCTTACACAATCTCCCAAAAAAAAAAAATTTCTTACCATAGTTATTCTTCAAGCTGCTATTCATGCAGCAAGAGGTCTCAGATAAGACTGTTGGCCAATCCTTATTTTCATTGATCACTCATATCTTCTGTTGACCTTTCCCTTTAATTTAGCATCTGCTGTTATCCCTTTTAATAGCACTTCCATTAAATTTAAACAAAATTTTAACATACTGGAATTTCTAATGACGTTCATCTAAATTATGGACTGGTGTTGATGATTCTTAATTTTCATGTTTATGCTGAATGTCTCAGTTTTATATGTGATGCTATGTTATTTGTTTTATGTGATTTAACTTTTTGTTGGTTTTCTTCAGTTCTCCATTCAGGGTGAAGGAGGATGATGAAGTGGACAATTTAGAAATAAAGCTGGATGTGAAGAAAAAAACAAAGCGTGTATACCAATCACCATCTCCTGAAGTTGGACAAAAGATTAGCCGATCACTAAAAGTTAGTTAAAACTTTGAAGATACCTAGAATATATTTATATGCAAAATGATATTTCAGTTGCATACCTAATGATTACTGGAAAAGTAAATGAATATGTGCGATGAGCAGTCATTATCCATTTGTTACTTTTAGGGATAGTTTTGGAAGTACCTCGACCAGAAGTCCAGAATACTTGTCAGCCAGCCACTATCTAATGGCATATATAATATCCTTAACCCATCAGGGGAATTGAATGGCTATATCCCATCAAACTAACTATACTATTTCTCTGTTGCTGGTAGATGCAATATTATCATATTTGCAAGTAAAATATTTCTTTCTGGGTAAACTGCCACCATCATGAATTGGCACTCATTATTTTGTGATGTCACGATGTTTGCATTTGTTTCTTGTTCATTATCTGCATGAACTGGCAAGTCACTGGCTGGATCATAAATTTAATCTTTTATGTTTAGTTGGATGATTGCAGAGTCTGAATGCCAAAACAGGGCTTTTTAGTAAAAGAATGAAGATTATCCATCGCAACCCCACTCTTCATGCACAACGAGTGGCTGCAATTAAGGTCTGTATGTAATGTGGGTAGTATTTATTGTTTCTTGAAGAAATGTAGCTTCAATTCGGAAATAGAGACCAGTTATCTTCTTGTGCAGATGTTATTCCCATCTCTGCAATATAACTTATTTCAAATGGAATGATGGCTATATACCTATTTTTCAGTAATTTATTTTCTGAATACCAAACACACTAATGTGCCTCTTGAAGATTGAAAGCTTTTGGAAAAATATTTGTTGAAATTTATCATCCATTTTTATTTTCTGACTCGAATATATTACCTTGAACTTTTGAAGAAATCTGCCTTAATTTATCATCTTTATAACCCAGAAAGCAAAAGGAACTGCTGCGGCTAGGAAGCGTGCCTCTGAAGCTTTAATAGCTTTCTTCAGTGATCCAGAAAACCGCCGCAAGCGGAGCATAGCCATGAAAGGTCCGTTTAATTCTCTCTCTCTTTTTTTTTTTTTCTGCGTAATGGAGAAGAAGCTCTTATCAATTAGAAGTTTAATGCTGACAATAAGGTTGGGCTCTGTTTAGTACATGGATTTTTTTTAGCTTTTATTTCCTAAGTTTAGATGTTTTGTATATAAAAACATGTATGGTAGTACATGGATTGTGAAGGGGTGGGCCGGATTCGGGTGGGGCTGGGGCTGGCTACAGGCCCCATGGGCGTGGGTTGTGGAAGAATATTATGAAACAGTGGCCAAGTTTTCTTTCCTGCATCAAATGGCAATTGGGTAAAGGGGACAAAATCAGATTTTGGCAAGATAGGTGGGCTGGTGAGGATAGATTACAGAATTTGTTTCCCAGAATTTTTTAAATTGCATATCCGAAAGGGTTGGCGGTGGCTGATGCATATAGGCTTTGTAATGGCTGCGTTGATTGGACCATTAGAGTCAATAGACATTTAAATGACTGGGAAATCAAGGAGTACGAAGAACTTTTGATAATATTGGAGAAACAATGCATACAAGAGGTACCTGATAAGATTCTGTGGAGTCTTGAGAAAGGGAGTAAGTTTTCTCTTCAATTATACTATAGCTTTTTGGTTGGGGGGAGGAGGAAGGAAGTCTGGAACTCCCTATCAAGCAAATCTGGAAAACTAAATTGCCCTCTAGAATGGCTTTTTTTGCATGGGAGGCGTGTAGGGAAAAAATACTCATTTTCGACAACTTAAGGGCGAGGGGACAGGTTATCGTAAATAGATGCTCTC